TCGGCTGCACCACTGGCTCTAGGGCGGCTCTTTGAAGCCCCGTGGCAAGAATTTGAAGTTTTTTTTTCCTCTAGCCATCGGAGGCAGCAATAGATGGGGAGTGGGCGGGGTAAGCGAACGGCCGGCGATCCAACAGAGCAGAGAGTGAGGGTGAGTGAAGGCTGGAAGCTGCTTTCTCCATCCGGAGCCGGTGGGGAACCACGTGGCAGCCCACGTGGATCCCAGGCAGCGGAACTCAGGCTAGGGAAGGGGTGGGCAATTGTGGCTCTTTTACAACCTGTAGCCTTCAACTCCCAGAATTCCTGAGACAGCCAAGCTGTCTCAGGAATTCTGGAAGTTGAAGTCCACAGGTTGTAAAAGAGCCACAATTGCCCACCCCTGGCTACGGTAGGCCGGCGCGCGGGTGGGAGGCGAGGGGCGGGCGAACCAGCAATTTAACAAAGGGCTCGGCCGAACCCCCTAGAACCCCCAGAATCCCACCACTGTGTAGGCCCCTCTTGATCTTAGGCCCTAGGCTGAAGCCTAGTTAGCCTATAGGAAAATCCGGCCCTGTGGACAGATAGGATCTTCCTTTGCTTTCTAAGGTCGATGTAGAGCTTCTGTAGAGAGCTTTACATCTGAGTTCCTTATAGGCAGGGTGACAACCTCCGTGTTAAGCACTGACACAGAGGTTTTTCCTCTTGCAACCTGCACTGGGCTCTTTGTCGGACTGGGGTTATGACTGGTTCCTTTGGTAGATGGTAACTATTTTTCCGTAATGCCAAAGCTTTCAGGGTCAGTGTATAGCTCCATTTGGTAGTTGGCAAATGTTAGGAGACGTCATTGTAGTTCGCCTTCTGACCATTGGGGTGGTGTGGTTGATGCAGTACACCTTTTGGCCATTAGGGTGTGTTGCTTACGTAGTAGCGTGGTTGGTGCAATACACCTTTTGGCCACTAGGGTGTGTTGCTTGCGTAGCGGCGTGGTTGGTGCAATACAACTTTTGGCCACTTTTGGCCACTAGGATGCTGTAATCTAACTAATGCTTGGGTTAAACTGGTTTTAGCGTGTTCCTTTGTATAGAACTGCAAAGAAACTGTCCGATTTGGAGACCCTAAGAGGCTTTCTTCGAACTTGGGTTCCTTTGGACTTTAATTCCTTGCCCTATAAAGGGGATTTAGCTTTCCAGTATTTTCTTCAAGCAAGATTCAAAGTAACAGCATGCACTGTAGCTAGATTTTAATGGGTTATTTTAAGGGTAATGGGTTTTAATGTTTTGGGAAGCCAATTCGATTTAATTCTGTTTTTAAATTATTTTAAATTTTGTATTGTATGTATTTTAATTTTGGCTGTGCACCGCCCTGAGTCCTTCGGGAGAAGGGCGGTATACAAATTTAAATAATAAATAAATAAATAGATAATTTCTCTGCATCAGATCTTTTCCTTACAAAATGCCTTTGCGACTTGGTCTTCAAATGCAGATTGAGCTGGCTAGGCTGGGAGAAGCAGAGTGTATCATGCAAATTCAATCTCCATGGAGACCATGTGGCTCGGCTTGCTTTGTGCTAAAATAAGGCTTTTTTCTTTTACTGCCGAGTTAAGCTTCTAAAGCAACATACACACAAAAACTTTGCAAAAATACTATATATAATGTTGATGACAAAAAGTATATATGTAGAATGTTGTGTAGGTGCTGTGGGTGGTGGGAGTTTTGTTTGTTTTGTATTGTCTTTGTATTTTTGTTTATATTTTAACAATAAAAATATATTTTAAAAAAAGAAATTTTTTTTTTTGCAAAGGTGATTTGAATATAGAAAGGTATTTCCTCTTTGTTCCAAGAAGAGAAGAGGGGGCTAACCATTCTCTGACCTTTTACTGCCAGGCAGAATACTTTTCTCAGTTAAATCCAAATGGAATTTGGGATGTAAAGAGAAGGAAAGCAGGTTTTGTCACTTCTATGGCTAAGCAAAGGTCTCAATTAGGTGCAAACAAAGTCTTTTTTTTTTTTAAGTTCTGCGTAGAGAAGAGCACTTTTTTTTTCTTCACTCAAACATAACATCCATCATTGTTCCAAGAGAAAGAAAAGGAGGGGGTCAGGCAGTCTACGTCATTTTACTGTTCTGTTCCCCAGGCATCTGGCTCCACTGGGAACAGGCAGCTAAACTCTAGCAAACAGGTTTTCATACAGATCATTTATTTGGGTATCCTCAAATATAGACTTGGTGAGTCATGGTGAGATTCATCCTTCTTACATAATCTGTTCCATTTCCTAGTGTAAAATGACGGTAGATCTGTCCCCCTGTTCAGAAAGCATGCTTCTCTCCTCCGTGGCAATTCATAATGGCCGGGCTTTGTTCTACACCTCCAGGCAGAGAGCCTCAGTGGCCAATCAGACACACAGATGTGGTCACACGTCATGGACTACATTTCCCATAATGCAATCTCTATCTACATCTCTCACAGTGCAATCTCTTAAGGAGACAGCTCTTAATTCTTAGGGTAACTAATTCACTATAATTCACCATCTGAGCAGCACATTACTGGTGCGCCCCCTGGCCTCTTACAGCCGCTACCCACACCGGAAAGACCCTGGGGAGCGGTCTCATTGGACTTCATAGCTGAGTTCCCCTCATCAAAGGGCACCACAACCATCTTGGTGGTGGTGGACATGCTCACCAAGACGGCTCATTTTATTCCGTGTGCGGGTCTTCTTATCTCACGGGCGACGGCCTAGTTATTCATTGCCCATGTGTTTTGGCTGCATGGGTTACTGGATCGAGTAGTGTCTGACTAGTGGGTACAATTTACAGCACACTTTTGGCAGACCTTACGGAACTGCAGGTACAGGCATGTCTGTCATCCGCCCATTACCCCAAGACTGACGGAGGAATAGAGAGGATGAACGCCATCTTGGAACAACACCCAACAGGACAATTGGGCGGAGGTGCTGGCTGTGGAGGAGTTTGCCTACAACAATGCTCAGTATGCATCCACCCATGTGTCCCTGTTCTTCAACAGTTACGGCTTTCATCCATGGCTCTTCCCGTTGGCTCTGTCTGACTCCCCAGTTCCATCCGTGGATACATTCCTCCAAGAATTGAAAGCCATGCACCAAGTGGTTCGGAACCAACTGGAGAAAGCCAAGGAGGACTACAAACACTTCACAGATTGGCATCGTCAAGACATCCCTCCGTTAGATGTGGGCGATCGGGTTTGGCTTTCCACACGATACGTGCCGACGGTGTGGCCATCCAAAAAACTTGATCACCACTACTTGGGCCTGTTTCCAGTCGAAGCAGTGATCAATCCTTGGCATTTCGCTTATTCCTGCCATGGACCATGCGGATTCACCCAGTCTTCCACAGGTCATTGCTAGTACCAGTATTGGCCGACAGTCCGCACCACCGGGACTGGTAGCACCTCAGGGAGAGACGGAGTATGAAGTGAACAGCATTCGAGATTTGAACTTGCCAGGAGTCCTTGCATTCCTTGTTGGCATTCTGGACTAATTATCTGGATCTTTTGCTCCCTGAACCCCTTGCTTTGCTCTTGTTTTGCCAAATACATTTGGGATTTATTGCTATGCAGCCTTGGTGCAGATAGCGCTGGGCTGGACTAATTGCAGCCAGAGGCTGCTTGAGGTTTGTGTGTGGGTTTGTTATCATTCTGCTCTGGGACTTGCCAGAAACATGGGAGCATTTGGAGCAATAAAGGGGCGGTTTGAACTGCCAGCTGTTTGTGTTATTGCTGTGCTGTGCCCTGGGTCATCACAAGCGGCTTGGCAGTCAAGGGACCTGTCCAGGGGCTCACTGGATTTTGGTTTTACCCCTCTTCCTGACTTTAGCAAATTTGTGATTGTTAGGGCTACCTGGGCGAAGGTGGGGATGAATTGGCAGTAAAAGTTCGTGAAGCTCAGGAAAGTCTGTAGTTGCCTCCTGGTCCAAGGGGGTTCCCACTTTAGTATTGCCTTCACCTTACTGGGATCCAACTCCACTCCTTCATGGGAGATCCAGTATCTCAAGTAATCTAAGCGGGTCTTGTGGAATTCGCACTTAGACAGCTTCACGTAGAGTTGGGGTTCCTGCAGTTTCCTGGGTATGGCTCTGACTATCTTTGTGTGTTCTTCAGGGCTCTTGGTGTATATAAATATATTGATCAAGTACACCAAGACTTTCTTGTACATGTGCTTGTGCAGAACCTCATTTATCAGTTGTACGAATACTCCCAGATGCAGGATACCCCGCAGATGTTCTCTTAAGCTCACTGAGTGCATCTCTGGCTTTTCAGCCCTGAATTTGGGACATGTGCCCGCTGGCTGCACCCCTGCCCTGATTTGTAGTACCATCAGGCCTCTTTAGCCATTGGCTCCTCTGGTTTATTCCTCTCCTCCGATTCCTTGCCTGTTGCCGACATCTCAGGTCTTTGGCCTCCTGGTGAGATCCAGGTAGGCACTACTGTGAAAACTGACTCCCATTTGTCACATTCAACAAAACTCCCAGCTCTTTAGATTAATCAAGAATGTAGCTTTATGAAAAATCCATCTAGGCATGGCAGAAGCAAAGTCAGTTCTGGGATTTTTCCCACAAAAAGCCACATAGGTAACTCCCTTTTCTGGGCCACCCACAATTCATAGTTCACCAGTTGAATTCTGTTTTTTTTGCTGTGGGAAAAGCTGTCTACTTTGGTCAAAACTTTCTTCATCACTTGGCTTTGTAGATAACGTCTCCCTGGCAACAGATGGTTCACTTGCATTCCACAGTCTCCCTCTACCCTTAGGAATTCACCACCCCATCCTGACACTCTTTGGCAAAACTGCAAGAGAAAGCAGGCACAGGCAACTATGGAGTCGAGTCAGGTTTGATAGGAGTCCCCTGATTTTTAGCTCAGTGCCTATAACAACCTAACTTTCTCTTTAATCAAGGGGAAAATACTGTTTTGAGTTGGTTGTTGTTATAAAAAATAATTTAATTAGTTGTTAGTATTGTATAAAATTATTGATTTATATATATTTGCTCCTCTAGATTATAGACAAGAGTAAGAGAGACCCTACAGAGGAAATAGAAATATTGCTACGATATGGACAGCATCCAAATATTATTACTCTTAAAGATGTAAGTAGATAATATAAGCATCTTATGGTAATTAAGTCATTAATATCAATGTGTTATTTGCCTTCTATTAACTATTAGTTTAGAAAACTTACTTAATTTTGTCCAGCATTTGTAATGCATATATCCTGGGTTTTCTCTGGAGCTGTAAATCTTTTTTAACCCCAAATATTTGACAGACTGTTTATTTAGGTTGAAAGAGGTGGAATTCTTCCTTGGTTGACAGAAGCACAGATCAGCGAAATGATCAATCTTAGTAAATAGGCCCACAGCCTTCGGTGTAGAAACACGATCTTAGAATATTGATAGATTGATGATTGCTTTCTAAGGACCTGATGTAGTGAGTAGTGGTATTGATAGACCGGCAGGTTTGGCAAGCATATCCTTGCTTCTTACACAAGTGCTGCTACTCAGAGTTCCTCACAAATAGGGTGTATAATCTTGTACAAAGCGTAAACAAAAGTTTATGGAGCTGCAACAACAACAAAAGAAAAACACCCCTAAAAATATTACAGGTAGTAAAGAATAAGTTACCTGTTCTTTTATTTTTCATTCATTAGATAGTGGGAAATTCTTTTTCCACTCAGCTATCATTTTGGAAATCAATTAAAATAACTTTTCACATTGCCAATTGAACCATCAAACTCTTGTTATTTATTATTCTTTTCCTTTCTGTGATTGTCATCCAATTTTAGATTTTTTAAATCTTATTTAAGTTGCAGTGATTTTTTTAACTGAGTTATCCTTTATCTTGTGATATTTTCTGGGTTCTTCAGATATCACATACTATTTCAGGAGGTGATAACCAGTATTTTAAGCAGGTCCATTTCTTTTGTGAAATCATTTTGTATGTCACTTTCAGGTACATGATATGATTGGATATTTAATGTTATTTTCAGGTATATGATGATGGAAAATATGTATTTCTGGTAACAGAACTCATGAAAGGTGGAGAACTGCTGGATAAAATCCTTAGGCAAAAATTTTTTTCTGAAAGAGAAGCTAGTGCTGTGTTATTGACAATTACAAAAACTGTTGAATATCTTCATGCACAAGGGGTAAGTCTGTCTTTGTCAGCTATCTATTTTTAAAATCATTATTAGGTTTTTTTGAAAACAAACCTCACAGTCTCTTTTAACAACTTTTATTGAGAAGAAAGAGATGGGTTTACAAGAACTCCTGCAACTGAACTGTTTCCCATGTAAAACCAATGTGTACCAAGGAACAGTAGAGACTTCTTTATTTTTCTGGCTGTTTTTCTGCAAAGCTGCAGAAAAACTGGCAGATCTTTTCAGAATCATGAAGGAACTTGCAGATGATTTTGCATAAAAATCACAGTAATTTTTTTCTTTGTTTTTCTTAAGGTTGTACATAGAGATTTGAAGCCTAGTAATATCTTATATGTTGATGAATCAGGTAATCCAGAATCTATTCGAATTTGTGATTTTGGCTTTGCAAAGCAGCTGAGAGCAGAAAATGGCCTCTTAATGACACCCTGTTACACAGCAAATTTTGTTGCTCCAGAGGTAAACTATTTGTTATTTGTCTGCATTTCCTGTCTAGAAAAACATGTACTCTGGAAATTCCTTTTTTTTCTTTAAATAAATGTATTAATTTACAGTTATTTAATGTAAATTAAATAAGTGTTTATTTAATAATAATTTTATTAGAAAACTATAGGCAAATATATTAAAAACAAAAAAAATCTTAAATTTAAAAAAGATAGAAATCAGAAAAATAAGAGAGAAGTGGGAAAGCCAAACTAAAAACATCAAATTTTCGAATATGACTATTTATTATATAATTGCATGAAAGGGATAAAAGAATCATACTGTGAATTTGAAAAAAAATGTTATTCTAGGCCAGGCTTGTCAAACTCAAGGCCGGTGGTCCAGATCTGGCCAGCAGAGTGCTTAGATCTGGCCCATGGGGCCACTCTGGAAATAGTGAAGGACTGGCTCACAGTGCCTCTACCAGTGAAAACGGAGTTCTGCCCTAGCCCTGTTTTCCCTGGTAGAGGGTTTCAGGGGGCCGTCGCAGCCAAAAACAGAGCTTGGGAGCCGGTTTTCTCTGGCAAAGTGCTTGGGCCACCACAGGTGCCCCTGACACGAGTGATGTTGAGCTGGCCACGCCCACTCCCCCCCCCGAGGTCAAACACAACCCTGATGCGGCCCTCAATGAAATTGAGTTTGACTCTGTTCTAGATGTTAAGGAATGGCTTTTAGAAATAGATAATTTAGCAAAGGCTTTTTCTGGGTCTAAAGATACTAGTAGATTCCATCCTGTACTTGACTATATCCAGTATATCAACTAATAAACATATTGTCTGATGCCTGATGATTTTTTGTAAACCCTGATGTAAATTATATGTGGTAAAACATTTTGCAGCTATGCAGTATGTAACCAGCATAATAAGTACCTTAGTACAGTGTTTGCAAACCTTTTCGGCAATGAGTGCCAAAACGGGAGTGCGCACAGTGTGGGTGGAGCACCGGAAACCAGAAGAACAACTTCCCAGCATGCATGGTCTTTTGGTTTCCGGCGTTCCCGCGCACGCAAAGACCAGCTGGTCAGCGCACATGTGCACGCCGGAACCCGGAAGAGCGATGGACGACGGCTGGCATGCCTGGAGAGATGATTCTACGTGCCACTTCCAGCATGCATGCAATAAGTTTGCCATCATGACCTTAGTATAATCCTTAGTATAAAACAATGCTGGCAGTTTAACATTCTGAAAAAGATTTATTACTTACATCCAAAAGATTTACGACAACTCAGCAAAAGCCTTGTACCAGTCCTTTGAAAAGCCATTCAGGCCAGGAGTATTACATTTTTCAATAGCTGTTTAGAAACCAATAGTTCCTGGAGCAATAGGAGAGCTTTCCAGAAATCTGATTATTAAAAACTGAATATCCACCAGACTCAAGTTGATTGCTTCATATTGGTCCCCCTTATACAAAGTACTGTATATATTGGCTTATAGAAAAAAGGGGGAAATGATTATTAATAACTTCAGAAACAAAAGGCAATCTAATCATCCTTAGTGACAATTTCAGAATCTTAAAATCTATTTAAACAAAATTTCTAACTGTTTGTGCAGAACACTTTTTCTCACTTCCTTATAAAAACATAAGTTACAGTATATACTGTAGATAGTTCTCACTTAGTGGTTACTTGATCAGTGACTGTTTAAAGTTTATTTATTTATTATTTATTTATTAATCAAATTTCTATACCGCCCTACTCCCGAAGGACTCAGGGCGGTGAACAGCCAAGATAAAATACAGATAATACAAATATCAAAAAATCCCTTAAAATTATTAAATATTTCAGCCGAAACACAGATTAAAACACCCAATTTGTAAAATCACAAATTAAAAAATTTAAAAATTTAAAAGATGGGAGTTAGGCCAGGCCAGCTTGCTGAAATAGAAAAGTTTTGAGAGCATGGCGAAACGTGCGCAGGTCCGGGATCTTCCGTATCTCTGGGGGGAGCTCGTTCCAGATGGTAGGTGCCCCCACAGAGAAGGCTCTCCCCCTGGGGGCCGCCAGTCGACACTGTTTGGCCGACGGCACCCTGAGGAGCCCCTCTCTATGGGAGTGTACTGGTCGGTGAGAGGCTATTGGTAGCAGAAGGCGGTCTCGTAGATACGCCGGTCCGATGCCATGGAGCGCTCTAAAGGTGGTAACCAAAACCTTGAAGCGCACCCGGAAGACCACCGGGAGCCAGTGCAGCTCGGGCAGGAGGGGGGTCACATGGGAGCGCCACGTCGCTCCCATAACCACCCGCGCGGCCACATTCTGGACCAGCTGGAGCCTCCGGGTGCTCCTCAAGGGGAGCCCCATGTAGAGAGCATTGCAGTAGTCCAAGCGGGAAGTAACGAGAGCATGAGTGACCGTATTTAACGAGTCCCGATCCAGAAAGGGACGCAACTGGCGAATCAGGCGGACCTGATAAAAAGTCCTCCTGGCCACGGCCGTCATGTGCTCTTCTAAAGACAGCCGTGAGTCCAGGAGGACACCCAAGTTGCGAATCCTCTCCGTGGGGGCCAGTGACTCGCCCCCAATAGTCAGTGATGGCACCAACTGACTATATCGGGATGTCGGAAACCACAGCCACTCGGTCTTGGATGGGTTGAGCCTGAGTCTGTTTCTCCCCATCCAGATCCGCACGGCCTCCAGGCACCAGGACATCACTTCAAGGGCATCATTGGGGTGGTCCGGGGTGGAGATGTACAGCTGAGTATCATCAGCGTACTGGTGGTACTTCACCCCGAAACCACGGATGATCTCACCCAGCGGCTTCACATAAATGTTGAACAGAAGGGGCGAGAGGACCGACCCTTGTGGCACCCCACATATAAGGGGCCTCGGGGTCGACCTCTGCCCCCCTGTCAACACAGACTGCGACCGGTCAGAGAGAAAGGAGGAGAACCACCGTAGGACGGTGCCCCCCACCCCTAACTCCTCTAGCCGGTGCAGCATGATACCATGGTCGATGGTATCAAAAGCCGCTGAGAGGTCTAATAGGACCAGGACAGAGGAACAACCCCTGTCCCGGGCCCTCCAGAGATCATCAACCAACGCGACCAATGCCGTTTCCGTGCTGTACCCAGGCCTGAAGCCCGACTGGAACGGATCCAGATACGACGATTCATCCAGGTACTGGGGGAGCTGTCGCGCTACCACACTCTCAACAACCTTCGCAACGAAGCGAAGGTTGGAGACTGGACGATAATTTGCCAACACTGCCGGGTCCAGGGAAGATTTCTTGAGGAGAGGCCTCACCACCGCCTCTTTCAAGGCGGCAGGGAAGACACCCTCACTCAAGGAAGCATTTATAATCCCCTGGAGCCAGCCTCGTGTAACCTCCCGAGAGGCCAGCACCAACCAGGAGGGACACGGGTCCAGTAAACATGTGGCTGCGCTCAGTCTGCCCAGTATCTTGTCCACGTCTTCGGGCGTCACAGAATCAAACTCTTCCCAGATAATACTCACAAGACCTGCCTCTGTCCTCCCCGCTGAATCTACCCAGTCAGAGTCCAGATGTTCCCGAATCTGAGCGATTTTGTCATACAGATACTGTACAAAATCCTCGGCTCTACCCTCCAAGGGGTCCTCCCGCGCTTCCTGGTGGAGCAGGGAGCGGGTCACCCTAAACAGAGCGGCCGGGCGATTATCTGATGACGCAATAAGAGTGGCAAAATAGTTATACTTCGCCACTTTTATCGCCACCAGGTAGGTCTTAATATGAGACCTTACCAGTGTTCGGTCAGATTCAGAATGGCTGGCCCTCCAACCACTCTCCAGGCGTCTTTTCCGGCGCTTCATCTCCCTCAGCTCCTCGGTGAACCAAGGAGCCAGGCGAGATCGACGCCGGGTCAGAGGCCGCAAAGGCACGACCCGATCCAAAGCTCCAGCGGCCGCCCTATCCCAGGCGGCCACCAGCTCCTCAGTCGAGGCGTGTGCCAGAGCCTCAGGAAATGGCCCAAGCTCCGTCTGGAACCTATCAGGATCCATCAGGCGCCTGGGGCGGTACCACCTCAATGGTTCCGCCTCCCTGCGGCGGGGTGCGGCGGTTCGAAGGTCAAAGCGAAGGAGGAAGTGATCTGACCATGACAAGGGCTCGATCACTATATCCCCTATCTCAAGATCACTCTTGATGGTGTTGGATGGTGCTGAACAATTGATACTTATAACCAATCCTCAAACTTCCAGCTATCGCACCATCCCTGCAGTAACATGATGTTGATCTGGTAACTTGGCAACTGGCTTGCACTTATGATGGTTGCAGTGGTCCACAATCACATGATTGCCATTTGCAGCCTTCACTGACAGCTTCCTACAAACAATGGGGAAAGTTGCAATTATTCTGGCAAGTCTCCTTTTCCCAGGAGCAGCCACCTCTGAGCCTTGAATCATTCACATATGCCACTGTAGCCACCTGCACACCCTCCCCCACCTCATAGCAGTCACCCCCTGTGCTTAAAATTGCTTGTGGGTTCTGTTGCAGCCATCTGTGTCCCACCCGCCATTGGCCACCTCTCCACCACGGGCGTGAAATAACTTGCATGCACCGCTGCAGCTAACTGCATATCCCCCACCCACCCAGCATCAGCCACCTCTGAGCCTGAAAATGTTCACATATGCCACAGCAGTCACCTTCATACCCTCCCTCAGCTGACAGCCACTTAAGTTCCTGCTGATCTGCAAGCCACTTGGTACTTCAACTTTCCTCACTGACTTTGATTGTTCTTAATCCTACATATGGGACTATATATGCATTGGCCAAGCCTCAAGGTTTATGGAACATTCCTATCTTTTCCATATTTTTAAAGAATTTGAGGGTGATGATCATACATAAAGGAAACCAAGAAATTGGATTTGTGGCGTTCTACTTATCTTTGAATTACATGAGGTGTAATTATTTGAACTAAATGGATTCCATGAGATGGAGAAACAACTGTGCAAATGAATTTATCTAAACTATTTTATTTTAATAGTGCTATATTGATTACCCATAATTTATGTTAATGATTTATTTCAGTTTTGGTTTTCTTTCTTTTATAGTTCAGTGATTTTTAAACTGTCATTTTTACTGCAATGATAGAGTTTAAATTAATTTAATAATTCAAATATTGTTTATTAAAATATTCAATTATTAAATTAAACTATCCAATTTTTATTGGATAATTTATAATGGATACAGCAATTTCAGTTTCTCAGTGATTCTGTAGTAAAAGTAGCATTTACAAAAGTAATATTTACAATTAAGAATAATTACTTTTTTTAATGATTTAATTAATAACATGATTCCCATAGGTGTTAAAAAGGCAAGGGTATGATGTAGCATGCGACATATGGAGCCTTGGTGTCCTTCTATATACAATGTTGACTGGGTATGTTTGTATCAATTTACTTTGTCCTGTATCTATTTATTGCTAAAAGTTTCATGTCTGCTGGGCTAAACCATGTATCACAGGGCAAACCTTTTTGAGCCAAGATACCTCAATCAGCTAACATATAGAATATATGGATTCAAAATCCAGGATGCATAGCTTTAGTGGAAAGGAAATTTGGCAAATTTCATAAAACATTTTATAATATAAAATTATCATAAAGCATTTTATGATATAATGCAAAATATCATGAAACATTTGTTGTGGTCATCTCCTGATGTTCAACAAGGATTACTTTCAAGGCAGATATAGCTCTGAATAACTTTGAATTTTTAAGAACTTTTCAAGTTCATGAGAAGCTTGGAGAAAATATATACCTATTAATCATTTTCAAAGAGTTCACTTGTCATAGTTCAAATTGTACTACTTCTAAATCTGTTCCAGTACTGAACAATTTTAGTACTGCTATATGTAATACATTACTTTTGTTTCCTAATTCTTTTTGAAAAGCTTTTTGTTCACATTAGTAATTGGTAAGCAGTTATATATCTCATGAATAATTATTTTTACAATTTATATTAATTACAGGTAGTCCTTGACTTTTTCACACTTATGATAGTTGCAGTGTCCCATGGTCATGTGATCGCCTCCTGAGATCTTCTGACAAGCAAAGTCAATGGGGAAACCAAATTCACTTAATAACTGTGCTATTAACAACAGCAGTGATTCACTTAAAAACTGTGGGAAGATCATAAAATGGAGCAAAACTCACTTAACAAATGTTTGAGCAACATAAATTTTGGGCTCAATTATGGTTGTAAGTCGAGGACTACCTATAATTAGTATGTCAATCCTGATAATGGAATTGAGCAGAACGTTTAAAAAAAAATATGTTAAAACTATTGTCTTTATTTAGTTATACTCCCTTTGCAAATGGTCCTGATGATACCCCAGAAGAAATTTTGGCACGAATAGGTAGTGGGAAGTTTTCTCTCAGTGGTGGATATTGGAATTCTGTCTCAGAAACAGCAAAGGTATGTCAATCATTGTTCTTGAGAGCTCATTAGGTAATACAGAATATAAATCAATAAGTATTAATAATAGCAAGTTGCATCATGTTTTATGAGTATGGTTTTGGGGTTTTTTTGCTTTGCTTTTTGTGCCTTCAAGTCATTGGGGTTTTTTAAAAACATTTTTTTATTTATATCATATTAAAAGAGAAATTGGACATGGTGCAACCATCCTGGCATTATCTCCGCTATACACATTAAAGTATAACACAAGTATCTTACATGCTAAGCATACCTTGGTAATTATATACACATATTTGACCCCCTATATACCCTTATATTTACATATACAGTATTATATCATCTTTTGATCTATACATCTTAATTATTTCTTGTTCCGACTTCCATTTCTCAAATCCAGCCATTGGTAAAATCTATTCCAAATCTCAGTATTCTGTCTCTCCTTTGTTTTTTACTTCTAGTGTCAATCTGTCACATTCTGCACAGTCTAATATTTTCTTTATTATCTCCCTTTCTAGAGGTATATTCTCATTCTTCCACTGTTGGGCGTATATCATTCTCGCTGCCGTTATGATATGCAATATTAAGTATGTTAACCCTTTACTGTAATCTTCTGTTATGATTCCTAATAAAAATATTTCTGGTTTGAATTCCAATCTTTGTCCAATCATTTTTTCCAGCTACTTCTGAATCTTTTGCCAATACTCTTTTGCTTTTCTACATGTCCAGCATATATGGTAGTAGGTGCCCTGGTCACATTTCCAGCATATCGGTGATAAATTTCTATACATTTTGGCCAATCTTGCTAATGGTAAATGCCACCTATAGAACATTTTATATAAGTTTTCCTTCTATGATGTGTCCAGGGTTAATTTCCTATTCCTTTCCCACAATTTTTCCCACTTTTCCAGTTCAATATTATACCCCAAAATTTTTGCCCATACCACCATTCTCTTTAACTTGCTCTTCCTCCATTTTATAGTCTAATAAGTATTTATACATTGCTTTAATCATTTTCTCATCTGTCCCTCATAGAAGTTTGTCTAATATCGTTAAATATCTATTAATATTCCACGCTTTCACATCTTTCATATAGAATTTGTAAATATGCCCGCCATTCCAATTCTACCCCTTGTTTTTTAATTGTAGTCTCGTTTTTAATTTCCCTTTTTCATCTAGAATATCCTTGTATGTAACAATTTTCCCCCAATTGATAAGATTCGGATGGACCAAAGCTTCTAAAGTGGAGAGCCAGATCGGTATTTTCATATAGTTCTGTTTTTTTTTTTATTCCATACTCCCAATAGGGACTGTCTTATATAGTGTCTTTCGTGTGCCACTTGTCTTCCATACCAGAGGAATGCATGCCACCCTGCTTGAATATCATGACCTTCTAGTATTAATAATCTCTTGTTCCTTAAAGTTATCCATTCCTTCACCCAGGTGATCGTTGCTGCTTGATAATATAACTCCCAGTCAGGCAAACCAAACCCTCCTCTTTCTTTGGACTCTTGGAGTAATTTCAATTTAATTCTTGACTTCTTCCCTTGCCATATAAATTTTGACACTATTTTATTCAAATGTTCAAAATATTTTTTCTCTAATTTTATCGGCATGTTTTGAAATAGGAAGAGTAGTTTGGTCAGGACATTCATTTTTATTGCTGCTATTCTGCCCATAAGGGAGAATTAAATGGTCTTCCATCTCTCCAGATCTGCCTTTATTTGATTTATTAATTTAATATAATTGTCCTCCTTAATCGATGTACACCTTGCCATCAAGTAAATCCCTAGGTACTTCACCTTCTTCACTAATTGAATATTTATTCCCTTAGTCAAATTATCTTTCTATTTATTTGTCATGTTCTTGGCTATCATTTTAATTTTCTCCTTATTTACTTTTAGTCCGACTACTTCTCCGTATTTGTTATGGGGTTGTGTTTGCTTTTAATCTTTATCTCTATGTGCCTCTATGAGGTGTTTCCGGTTCCTGGGTGTTGCCTTTGAAGACGCTGTATAAGCGTTGTTTGTTAATTTTAAATTGGTTAATAAAAGCATATCTGAAACATGGTGTCAAAAGTGGTTCGGCCCTGAAAGTGGAGCGTTTGAAGTAAAAAATATAGCACCATGGCAGATAATATACCACTGCCGCAACCCATGCGAGTAAGTGAGGACTCTAGCACTAATTGGGAAAATTTTAGGGCAGAGTTTGAAAATTACTCTTTGGCTACAGGCTTAAATGATAAGCCGGCAGCAGTACAAGCTGCCACATTAAGAAGATTGATGGGTGCAGAATGCCTTCATATTTATAAGCATAGTTTAACTCTTACAGAAGCGCAGAGGACTGATACTAAGGCTATTTTGGATGCTTTGGAAGCTTTCTTCAGACCGCATAAGAATGTTATATATGAAAGATATCTTTTTGGCAGCTGCACGCAGGAAGAAGGGGAGACGATAGACGCCTTTGTAACACGCTTAAAGGAAAGGGCGGCAAGTTGTGATTACGGTTCCCTGAGAGACGAACTCATCCAAGACAAAATAGTTTTGGGTGTTGCCAAGGAAAGTACACGCCACCATTTATTAAGGGAACATGGTTTAACCTTGCAATCAGCCATAGAAATATGTTAGACTACTGAACTTACAGATAAACGGCTGATGGCGTTGGAGCGAGATAAACAGACCAACTGTGTTAATGTAGCTTCCAGGCACCAGCCAAATGTGAGGAATCGTCAGCAACAGCAGCAGTTCAAACAGAAGCCTCGCAATTTGTCAGCAGACAACCACACACCGTGTAAATATTGTGACAATGTCCATGCACGTGGGAAAGATCGGTGTCCAGCGTATGGTAAAATCTGTAGGGTGTGTGGGAGGCTGAACCATTTTGCTGGAGTGTGTCTGGCGACAAGGAAGTTGCATATGGTCGAGCAAACGCCGGACTTAGAGGATGTATCACTGTTTACCACTGATGCGATCTATACAAAGGAATGCATTGGTGCAGTACATTCAAAAGGCAAAAAGTGGTTTGTTAATCTTAAATTTAATGATATAACTCAATCTTGTCAGTTGGACTCAGGGGCAACATGCAATGTGATGAGCCTAAAGGACAAAAGAAAATTGGCACCTGAGACACCCCTTCAGCCTAGTAGTGCCACATTAAAGTTATATTCAGGGGAACTGATGGAGTCACTAGGCTTATTTTATACAGAGTATAACATACGTTACTCACAAATTGGAATTTGAAATTGTGGATGTAGATCAAAAGCCGTTACTGTCAGGCTCAACGTGTGAGCATTTGGGACTGATGCGATTTAACATTCCGAGGGAGTTGCATAATGTTGAAACCTATTCCTCCAAAGCCTTGGGGAGACCATTGATAAAGCACCAAGTCCTCCAAGTTTATAGGGAAGTGTTTGAGGGCCCTATTGCATCTGTGCCCGGAGAAGTTCATTTTCAACTTGATCCCGCTGTCCCTCCAGTACAAAGTGCCCCGCACAATGTCCCTATAGCCATTAAGGCACAGGTTAAAGCACAGTTGGATAAATATGAAGCAGAGGGACATATTGTTTCAGTAGCCGAGCCAACCAACTGGATAAGTAATATGGTGGTGATTAGGAAGTTGGAAAAGATCCGAATTTGCATCGATCCTAAGTTTTTGAATATGGCCTTGAAACGATCACATTACCCAATGCCAACGTTAGAGGATGTTTTGCATAAGCTGCCTAAGGCACGGGGTTTTACACTTGTTGATGCCAGGGATGCCTCCTTACAGTGTAAACTGGACGAAGAGAGAGGAGAGTTTTGGACTCCTTGGGGCAGAAAGAGGTGGCTTAAACTGCCCTTTGGTGTATCTGGAGCACCAGAGACCTATCAAAGGAAGCAGCAGGAATTATTGAGTGGCCTCAGCGGAATTGAGCCTATTGATGATATCCTTATAGTTGGGTGTGGTGACACTGATGATGAAGTGGAGCATGATCATGACGGGAAATTGATGGCACTATTGGAGCGGTGTAAGCAGGTGAAGCTGAGGCTCAGTATAAAGAAGCTGCAGTTTAAGGTGCGAGAAGTCCGCTTTCATGGACATATTTTAACATCACAGGGGTTAAAAGCGGACCCAGACAAGATCAGAGCTATTGTGAACATGCCACCGCCTACTAATGCTAAAGCAGTGCAGAGATTCATTGGCTTTGTCACATATCTAGCAAAATTCTTGCCACACTTATCTGAGGTTTGCCAGCCCTTGAGACGTCTGTTGGATAAAGACGCAGTTTGGCACTGGCTCCCTAAACATGACCAGGCAGTGCAAGAGATAAGAGCCTGGATAGCTTAACAGACAGAGCTCTGTAATTTAACACCAGCTGTCTGCAATTAAAATAAGATCGAATCCCGCCAGGCTCAAGGTTGACTCAGCCTTCCATCCTTTCTAAGGTAGGTAAATTGAGGACCCAGTTTGTGGGGGCAATAAGCTGACTTTGTATAAATATACAAAAGTATGAAGGCTATTGCTTAACGCATTGTAAGCCGCCCTGAGTCTCCGGAGAAGGGCTGCATATAAATCAAATTAAAAAAAGAGAGAGAGAGAGAGATAAAACGCTTAGTTACTACTGCTCCAGTATTAAAATACTATGATGTCACAAAGACGGTTACTATTCAAAGCGACTCAAGTAAGAACGGTCTGGGATGCTGTCTGTTACAAGAAGGTCAGCCAGTTGCATATGCGTCCAGAGCGCTTTCGCCAGCAGAGTTAAACTATGCTCAGATCGAGAAAGAATGTTTAAGTATCGTATTTGCTTGCCAGTGCTTCCATTATTACCTTTATGGTAGAGATATAATTACAGTTGAAACTGATCACAAACCGTTAATAACTATATTCAAAAAGCCTCTTTTGTGTGCCCCTAAGTGTTTGCAAAGCATGATGCTCAGTTTACAGCATTATAATCTTGATGTATATCAGCAATACCCTGAGTAGAGCCACAGTAGATCAGACAGCTACGGGAGGAGAACATG